ATTTTGGCTACTTTATTCTATTTCTTAGTTTTAGTTTTATAAAATTATGCTTATGTGCTTGTATTACACATTGTGTATTTTAATAAATATAAATTGATGTAAATAACTCGCAAAATACTGAATATATCTGTGAATTTAATAAGAACTTCGCATCATTGCACTGCAAGACAAATCCAAACAAAACATATATGTTTTGTTAGTAACCATGTAAGTTTTGTAAATCCAAGTAGTAAACATATAAGTTTTGTAAATCCAAACAAAACATATATGTTTTGTTTGGATATATACCTAATATGAAATAAAAAAATTGATTTATTAAAATACACAATAGGTATTATCTTTTTAGCATGAATATGGAATTTAGTACAAAACTAGGCTTTCTATTCTATATTTATTTAGGAAGGCATAGGTAACGGTTATGTTAAAAAGTGTTCTATTCATTAAATATAGGTACTTCAAGTTGTATTATTACTTCAGCATATGACTGTGTTTACTTTGTTGTACCATCACTTCATAATTTTAGGTGTTGTATAACTCAATGATTTTAGGCAACTTTATTATATCTTTTACTAAAGATAGGTACTAAAGAATCTTAGATTGATACAATAAGTAAATAGGTATTTCTTTCTTCTCTGTACTGTAATCGCTCAAGTGTTTTACTTATTCAATAACATGGGTAATGGTTACAACTGCATTTACTGTGTTGTACCAACACACTGCAAAATGATTACCCTTGTTCACTTGATTATTTTTCATAATAAAGCTAAGTACTTTAGTATATTTAAACTAGTTTACTATATTTGCTACTAATGCTATGTACTTTGGATAGATTATTATTTCTCTGTAATCGTTTAGTTTTTGGTTCATTAGCATAGGTACTTTAAGTCGGATCATTACTTCAGTATATGCATTTGTATACTGCGTTCTACCAATACTTCAAAATTATTACAAATTATGGTGTTAAGTGATTTCAATTGTTTGATAAAAATATAAATAAAAATTAAAAAGGATAAAATTATACTCTGTTTCGACATTGACTTAAGTCTGTCACATAGATAAATAAATACGTAGCAAGCAGGCTCTACAATCTTAGAACATAAAACTTGGAAACCTACGAAATGCTATTATGCAAAATTAAGACGCACTTAGTAAACTATTTAAAACCATATCTATTGACTACTTTTTATTTTAGTCGTATTATAAAATCGTATTTATTCCAACCTATAATAATAGGTGACACTGTTCGAAATTTCAAGCGAATAATTCGTTCATCACATACTAGATGTCGCCACTACATAGGTAGTGGCGACATCTAGTATGTCTCATCTATCAGGTAGCTTTACAAAATCTTTAAAAAAAATAGTTCTATTTAGTAGAAAATAAGTGTAACAGAAATTAAGATATTTGCTTTTGTTTAACATTAATATAAAATCTGTAATGAAAATTTTTGAAATTTGCTTATAAATAAATACTGCTTACATATGCTTTCGTAAAACTATTCATTAAAAAATCCAGTAACTAGATGTTTTTGATATTTTTTTGAAACTGAATCTGGCAGCACAACAACCTGCCATTATGGAATAGTTTTATTCACGTTTCCCGCTACTTGTTTCTCGATATTGGAGTTGCGAATAACTAATATTTTATTTTATTTGGTGGAGTTGCTCCTATTTTATGAAAGTGTTTTTATGTTATTTTTTTTGTTTTATTTTATCTATTATATTATTTACGTTGAATTGAGCTACCTATTATTCTTACAACTTCATTTCCAACGATTTGTTTTTTTGTGATATCTTGTCTCCATTGTTACATAGAATAAATAATTTAAATAATTATGTCAGATAAGCGTTGCTGTGTCCCCGGATGTAAGGACAGTAAGGGTAAGTCATCTCGTCTCCAAACAACTTGCATCAAGGGCATTATTTGTCTTAGGCTTTAACACATAAGTATGACTTTTTTAAATGTATCTTGTAAATATTTTAGGCAAGCTAGTTCTTTACAGATTTCCAAACCCAGAAAAGGAAAGTGAACGATTTAGGGTATGGATCTATGCAATTGGCGGTGATATACTAGGCCTCGAAAATATGCACATATTCAAGTAGCGCCGTGTGTGTCACTTACATTTTGAAGAAAAATTTCAATGCAGAAATAACAGAATTAGTAACATTGCTGTGCCAACTTTGAATATGCCAGGTTTGTCTTTATAGATTACAGAAAAAGTAAATATGTTATAGAATTAATTCAGGACAGTATATTATCAATGACATGTATAGTTTTATTGTAAAATATGTCTAATTGAGTAGGTACCTACATAGCATTAATTTTTACAATGATTCATTCATTAAATAAATAGAATAAAATGAAATATTACTTATATGCACTATAGAGCTTAAAAGGATAATACATGTAGCGATTTCGGCTGACAGAAGGATGAGGATATGATAATTAAGCCTAGTTTTCATAAATATTAAGTTGGCAATGTGTTATCACCCCACTTTTTCTACTTTTTTCATTAAATAATGTTATATATTATTATTATATTGTGAAATTATACTTTTTGCAAGTCATCACAGATACTGGGCCTGTTTTTTATTGCCATATATATAAATAATTTCAAAGTTAATCCTATTATTTTCTTTTAGCTACATTATCAAATAAACCAGCAGTTATGAAAAAGAAAACCCATGAAAGAGATTTTGAACCTAGCAGAACCGTCAACATCAACAGGTACTGATATATATGATCATATATGTATTATCATGATTACAGCACATCACAAGTCCACAGCTGAACATAGTATGTGACCTTTTCAAGGGGACTTAATATACATATGAAAAAATGTTAATTTATTTAACTAAAAAAAAAAGAAAGAAGTTTCCAGTAGAAAGGGTTGAGATGATACACAAGTTCCTAAATTTGGATTGACTTAACTAAGAGTCTAAAATATATACTATATATTGTTATATGATAACTAAAAAATCCATAAAATTAAACACAATAAAATCTCTACAAATATAATGGAATAATCTAACATAAAATTTATAAAACTTATGTACATGTTAAATAACTTTAATAAAATTTTAATAAACCTCAAAACTAATAAAAGAGATGATTGCCTTCAGATGGCTGAACGGCTTATCTCTTGATCAAGTCACCTGTCAACAAAAAAGCTAAATTATATTCCATCTGTTTGGCCACTATGATGCTTTAGACGGACACACAGATACAAATGTTTAATTTATAACACCCCTCTGTTTTTATCTTTTAAATTCAAAAAGCGTGGTAATGCATTATTTTAACTGATATTACTGTGCACGCACTCATTTATAAGGGTCAATCTGAGATGATTGCCTTCAGACGGTACAAGCTACAGACTAAATGCGTGTTCAATACAATAAAGCATTCAGGGTGCTGTTGGGTCTGCCTCGTTACTGTAATGCGCCGGGTTTGTTTGCGGATGCGCGTGTGATTGTTTCTACACCACCATGCTTAAACGATGCACATCCCTGGTGCGTAGGGTGCGGGCCAGTTCTAATGGTATCCTGAGGGCATTTTCTGACAGGTTTGAGGTCATTACCTGAACCATTGTCATATGGTGTACGTGCTGACTAATTGGACCTGTCTTAAATATAGTTTTAAATAAATAGTTTTAAAATTAAGTTAATAGTTTCAAGTTTAACTAAAATTAGTTTTAAGATTTGTATTATTACTAACATCTATGATCCTTATGATCGAAATAAACGACTTTTTTGACGAATAACTCGACAACGACAAGGTATTCGCCTGAGTGCGTGTTTGTGCGTGTGTATGTGTGTGTGTGTGTGTGTGTGTGTGTATGTGCGGATGTGAGCATGTGCTTGTGCATGTGGGTGTGTGAGTTTATGTGTGCGTGTGGGTGTACGTGCGTTCATGTGTGTTCGTGTGAACGCATGTGTGTGCGTGAGTGTGCGGCAGTGTGCGTGTGTGAGTGTGTGTATGAGTTTGTGCGTGTACGCATGTGTGCATGAATGCACGCGCTTGCGTGTTTGTGTGTGTGTGTTTACCATAAACCAGTTAACATGTTTTCTACATCTTCATAATCAAGATTTTTAAGGACGCGTTTACAAAATTGATAGGTATAGAATCGAACTATTACATGAGATATTATCATGAGACCCTACCTCCGCTCTTGATGGAGTGACCTCAAAATGTAATTCGGGATTACTACTGGAACTCCTGGACTGGTAGAACTGGGTGTGCCGAGTTTAGGCTCGTTTTGTTAGTTTGTTAGTTAAAAGTTAGAGGCGGAAAACGGAGACGTGGTTGAGGCGGAGGTGAATGCAGCGTAGCTTGTGGTGAAGTCTGAGATAGTGGAAACGGGGAGAGCGGGGTCAGAAGTGGGTCGACCTTAGATTGTGTTGTAGGCGGAAAGAATAGTGACGGCGCGTGGTGGTGGCGGCGGGGGGAGCAGAGTTTATGGTGGAGGCGGAGGTAGCAGAGGTAGAGAACGAAGGCTAGAGGGGTGCGGTGGTAGATGTGGAGGCGTAGGTGGCAGAGGAGGTGGTGGGTGCACTGGAGTGCAGTAAAGTGGGTACCACGTGAGGGCAAGTGAGGCTCACATAAAGGACAGTTGGTTACAGCGAAAAACAATGTGGCTGGTAAGTGGATATCGATACTGCCCATAAAGATGTTACTACGAGGTTATCCATTTTTCCGAATATCAGCTTGGCTGCCTATTGGTACAAGAGACAAAGTGAAAACAACTTTTGTTTTGTGACGGTTTCATCATAACTAACAAAACAAACCCAAACTCGGCATATCGATCCCTTTTTTATAAAGTGATTCCATGTATCACTTTTATTTGACATTTTAGGCTAAAAACAACAACAATACTTTAACAAAAGGGCAAATTGCAAAAAGGTTGGTTACATCTTGAAGGGAGCTTTCATTAAAAAATTACAAGCCGCTGAAGAAGATTGATCAATTTTTACCATTCATCAAATGTTATATTCCTCTACAAGATGCAGGTGTGTACAAGCTAGATTGTGAATGTGGTCTCTCTTAATTTTCCTTTTCATCATATCCAGTATAATTGTGTCAATTCCAGTAAATTACAGTTAAATTCTTTTTTTATTTATTTAACAGTTTAATAATTATTCAGACTGCGACAGTGCACTTGCATTGTCGCAGCGCATTGTCTGGCAGGGTCGCCGTGTAATGTTGGTAAAGATGGTAATGAGAGGAAACATACTCTTAACTTAACACTACATTGTCGTGGGATTTACAATTCAATCCACTGAGAAACACCCATTTCTCCTAACCTACAGTGATATATTTAGTTTGGTTATTTCTTTAAATCTTTCCTTGTCTTTTTTTGATATTGATTTATGAATTTCATTTCAGGTCATTACTCTGAACGTTCGGTACGAACGGTTCGGATTATACACAAAAATGGAAGGAAATACTTCTCACAAAGAAAATCTTGGTTAGTCTGACTTATGATGCCATTTTTTAACAGTTTCAATTTAATGAACATAAAAAGTAAAGTAAAGTTACAGCCTATATACGTCCCACTGCTGGGCACAGGCCTCCACTCATTTCTGAGAGGGTTTTAGGGCAGGAAATAGTCCGCCGCGCTGCCCCAATGCGTCGTAATATGCGTCGAAATAAATCGTGTTGGCGAACTTCACATGTCTTCGAAATAATTTTTTTTTTTTATATCTCAGACATGCAGTTTTCATCATGATGTTTTCCTTCACCGCCGAGCACGTGGTAAATCAGCACTTAAAATTGCAATTAACAATTTCATTGGCGACCGGCGGGGATCGAACCCGGTTAGCTCGCGTACTGTGAAATTTACAGCGAGCGCTAACCATCTGAGCTACCACGGCTCTTGAACATAAGATATAAACTTTTTTATAATGCAAAAATTTTGAATTACTCTGTATATTTAATGTGTTTCTATGATTGTAATTATAATTCAATGTTTTTAATGAAGTTCTTATAACTTATATGTGGTAGAGCCACGCTGCTTATTGCGGGTGAGTTTTGTATGGTGTTTAGCTTTTACTGGAAATGAGGTATTCTATCGTAGTCTTCAGGGGTGGCAACGCATCTGCATTTTAATTTTTAATTGAATTTAAATGTAGATATCTATAGGTACAGCATCAAATTACCATCAGTTTGATTGTGTGCTCATTTGTCACAAACGCCTGTGTAAAATCATGGCTAAAAGTATTACAATGATATAAAGTAGCAAAGGAATAATTATAAAAGTGAAGCATGTTGCTGAAAGAAAATTAACTAATGTTTCAGATCCAGTTACTCCAATGCAAGATCCTGTGATATCAACTAATCCTGTAGTTATAAAGAAAAGGGCTGAAACGTTTTTAGGTATGATTTATTTTGATTGAGAGATGATAACTATTTATATTTAATATTTGATAATATGATATATATTTCATATTTGTTCTGACATAGACAATATTTATATGTAAGGAAAAGAGATAATCTACATATGAAAACTAAAAAGTTACCGGATAATGAAGAACTAAAGATTAAGTACTTATATGAGAAACATGTGTAACAAAATTATTAAAAATCTGAAAAAAAGAATATTTTAAAATAAACTAATAAAAAATCAAAGAAATACAAAATGAACATAGAAGATAATTACAGAACTGTGTAATTTAATTAATTTTGTACAGGGAAAATAAAGTTATACTATTTGTCCAAAATTATACCAAGTTTGACGTTTTATTGTTTTTTTTTTGCCAAATTTTTGACGTCACGTGGCTAGTGATTTTATACGTTTTGATTTTTGGTTTTATTATTATTTCTGTTTTATTTTTTGTCTTAAGAATTTACCTAATACCTAATATGTTTTATATTCAGTAAGGGTAAAACGAGGAGAACACAAAAGAAACGATACCTACATAATTGAAACTGAACATCGTATTCATAAAATATTTTAAAATTCTGTTTTCATTTCGACACACAAACTGAGAGAAGCTGCTGCCGTCATCTGGCTTCTGGTAAAAATGGATAGGATAAGACTCATAAACAATGTTTACACATGTGCGATAACGAATTGCAATTTGCCTAGTATTATTAAGATACTGCATACTGCACATTATGAAATAATGGTATAAATAGGATAATTGTACTACGAAATCCGACCCTGGTTACGTCGTGTTATAACGTTTGTATTATGACAGATGCGCTACTTTTTCTTGTATGAAGAATCCTTCATTTTGAAATCATTGGTATCATTACGTTAGCCTAATGGCAGGGTACGGGCCGCGAGCTCAAAAGGTCGTGAAATCGAGTCCGCTATTCGATTACTCTCGTGAACCGTCCCTAGCACAAGCATTTTAAGCTGGTGGTTAAGGGGAATATTAGTAATGATAATATCATTGCTAGTATTTTATCAGCCCTTTTTTACGTGGTAGAGCCATGCTGCAGTTATATCAGTAGTCCAGGAAGGACCACGCTCTCACAGAATACCAGCGTAAAATAGTAGCTTAATGCTACTGTTTCGTATGGTGAGTGTAGAGAACCGGAGACCCTTTTTACTGGAAACGAGGCATTTCATCTTAGTCCTCACGGGTGAGAACGCGTCTGCATTTTTATTTGTAATCGAGGATAGATGTGTATGTCTATGGGCCACAGCAACCACTTACCATCAGGTGGACTGTGTGCTCGTTTGTCACCCTATCCTATAAAAAAGCCCTTCTTGATTATTTCTCCACCACCTCTTATATGTTCCTCTGTTTAGCTTAATAGTTGACTGATAGAATTCCCTATGGCATTAAAGTGCACCCTATGAACTATTTTGTGCATGAACGTAAAATAACAAATTTAAAGAATTTAGATAGGTACCAAAATTTACATTAAATTATTGGTCAATAAATTTAAAATTATTAGATTCAGGAAAGTCAATTCGCAACCACTTATAAATACTTAATGATGTTTGTGGGGTGTTGTAATAATTGTTTCTTTTCTTTCGTTTTTTAAACAAAACTGGTTGATAATTTTTTTTAATTTCTAATTTTAAGGAGGAGCATTGGCAGACAAGAAAAAGACAAAGGGTATCCTTCGAGAAGAGTACGAAGATGCTGATCTGCTGCTTTTATGGATAATATTTTCGACTCAGTTAATGGCAGTTTTTAAAAGAAAAGATGCCAAAACTCGACTTGGACCTGCAACAGCTCACTCCATACATCACAAAACATGTATGGATGCCAAAAAAGTTTTTGCGTCTATGATGTGTATCTTCCACTGGTACAATTTATTCCAACTGTAAACAATTGGGTGTGGCCAATAGAAGGGATGGAAGTTTTATTAAAAAAAAAATTGAAATTGATTTTGGCATTACATCAGTTTGGTTGCGTCATCTGAATCAGGACCCACTGGAAAATTGCTTTGGATCTGTTAAACGCCATGGATGCCGTAATATTAATCCAACTTGTGACCAATATGAGTCAGCTTTTGCCACCCTTTTTGATTAATAATTTAAGTAGTGTCCACTCTCATGGTAAAAACTGCGAGCTAGATTATTGTAATGCTGTGCACACTCATTGTTAATGAAAACTTAGAGGCATCGTCAACTTGCACATTTGATTTCACAAAAATTTTAGAAATAAACCTCACGCCAATTACAATGAAACTAAATATAAACATTGTGTTAACTGTAAATGTGCAATATTGTTATTTTAACAGACTCAAAGTTACAGGCTGACTCCAGAATAGTTTATTTACAATGGATACCTTCGCACATTGGCTTAGAGGGTAATGAAAAAGCTGATATTTTAGCCAAACAAGCTATTTCGGCTATTTTATTAATTTTACCCCTTCATTTCAAAACTATATACCTTTACCTTTATTAAAAAACAATATTGTTATGACCTTTGGAAGAAATATTTTGACGAAAGAGCAAAAGAAAAGGGTATATGGTACCGTACGATCCAGCCGTACCCAATGCGCTCAACCTGGATAGATAATGGAATATTGTGTAGACCCGATACTGTGATAGCATTAAGACTCAGATCTGGGCACATTCTATGCAATAAATTTTTGTACTTGAAGCGAAAAACTACCTCACCAAACTGTTCAACTTGCAATGTTATAGATGATGCTTATCACATTTTGATAGAATGTGCCCAGAACTCCATAGAAAGAAAAAAATTGCTAGCATACTGCTTTAATATTTGTTTTCAAATATTCATTATTATATAAATATTATTGCTTGAATATTTTTTTTTGTCAATATTCGATTCGATTTTAATGGAGCAATATGCAGAATTGCTTATTTGATTGGCAATTGGTTTAAAATTCATTTCAAAAATTATAAATCCCCGCAATTCCAAAGGACCTACATTTTACTATCATTTCAATTTAATAATTAAAAAGATTAAGAAAAACAAATATTCAAGATTGGATTTGATTTTAATTTGATATAGGCCGAATATGGTTGTCACCGAATACGAATATACGGCCGAAAGTTCAGTAAAACTTTTACCGAACAGAATATTCGGCCGAACATTATTCAACGGGATCACCTCTGTAACTAACCAATTATTAATATATCTAAACTGACGACCAAATTAAAGTGAAATGTACTAATTTAATTTAATGTTTTCTTTGTTTGATTCCAAAAACATTTTATCAAACTTTCTATTTGCTATAATCGGAAATAAATCTAAAGTACCTCGAAAACATAACATTTCAAGTAGACTTAACCCATAAATAAAATATACTTTCAATAGTAAAATTATGAAAGACATGACATTACTCAATTCGTACAATTCAAGTGGACATTTTTAGTACCATTTAAACGAATATTCGGTGATTTAGCCGCATATTCGGCCGAGTATCTTCGTCTCAATTTAATGGAGCAATAATGTAGAATTGTTTTAGCAATTGGTTTCAAATTTATTTCAATTGCAAACGATCTCAATTTTATTCTTGACGCATTTTAAATACATATTATAATATAAGAAGTTGAGTGCAGATTTACATTATTTAATGTTTTAAATTTTGTTCTTATCTTTGTTTGAGGCTGTTCATTAATTGCTATATTTAAGTTGAATAAATGTACTGATATTTATTATTGTCATAACTATTATTGTATTTGTGTGCTGTTTTTTAATAAATCCTGTAAATATAATGTTAGTTTTATTTATTTTGATTTTAATTATTAATATCTATGATGAGAACAATAATATTTATACGTAGGTGCTACATATATATATATATATATATATATATATATATATATATATATATATATATATATATATACGGCATGTGCGTATATAGGGTAAGCAGTAGTAATGTTGGCCCCCCCTCAATGATTGGCCTCTCGAATGTAAAATCAATATATTAAGAGTTAGCCTTGAGTACAAGGTAGAAAAAAATTGTTATATTTTTCTTTGATGACAACACTCTAGAACGCAACTGGTAGTTTTAAAACTTAACAGCTAGCAACACTCGAAAAAAAATCACATTGCAGCCACTACAACTAAGGGAGTGTTTTGTTACGAAAATCGTAAGAAGTAAGTATTTTTATATTGATATTTACCCGTTTTCTTCTTATTCTAATTGTGAGATATGTATTTCTATATGTCAATTACCATTCAATTTAGATTTTCATATTATAATTGATGTAAAAATACTCAAGATAACCTAAAAATAAGTAGGCCAAAGTTAGTATCCATGGTTGATATGAAAGATTAATTGATTGGCATCCCTGCCAATAATAGTAGTAAGCGTTTTAAATTAACTCCAATATTTTAAGCTTTTTGATAAATGCTACTGACAACTCCCTTTTAAATGACAATAATCAAAATGTCATAAGTTCGCAGTAACTATATTTTGGCGGGGCCAATCATTATACATTTACGTTATTAGCCGTGATAATCATTATACTTTTAGCTATGCTAATTTTTGTACAAAGAGATCTTAAATACGCAGTGATGTACCGATGTCGATACTAAATTATGTATACTTATTTAATGTATTTTTATGGGTTACATATTAAACTCATGTTTAAATGTCTAATTCTTTGCCCGAGCGTTTTGGTGAATTTGAGTGTTTCGTGTGTTGTTTAATTCAGCTTAATATCGTTTAAAAATTTTGAAACCTAAGATTTTTCTTATCTTTTAGTATAGCATATATATCTGGTTTTGCTTCAAAAATAATTTATTAGTTTTTCTTTCCATGCTATATTTCTACTTTTTCGTAAGTTCTATATAGTAACTAATAAAACAAGTCAATATTTAAAAACATAATTGGGATTTTTACAAAAAAAAAAATAAGCTTATATATTGTTGCAGAAAAATGCCAAAGTCTGCAAAAGGAGAAGTATATATAAAAAATATACTGAGGAAGATTTAGAAGCGGCAATCCAAGCAATTCAAAATGGTATGTCTAAAAGAGCAGCTGCCAAATTATTTGGGATACCTCGAGGAACTTTGCAGTTTCGATTACAAGGGAATTTTTTAAAAACGAGACCGGGTCCGCCTACAATCCTTACAAATGACGAGGAAAGCACTTTGGTTGAGTGGATAATACAAAGCAGTAGAAAAGGTTTTCCACGGCGTAAAGAAGATCTATTACAAAGTGTTACTGACTTTCTAAAGAAATCACCTAGGCCAAATAATTTTATAGATAATAAGCCAGGAGAGGGGTGGTACAAGTTGTTTCTTAAACGTCACCCCGAAATAGTACAAAGAACGGCTGAAGCTGTTACTTCGGCAAGTGCCAATGTATCAGAAGAGAACATCAAAAAATGGTTTCAGCAAATTGAAACTTGGTTAGAAGAAGAAGAATTCCGGCATATTCTACGAGATCCTAAACGTATTTTTAACGGCGATGAAACAAATTTCTTGTTATGTCCAAAAACCTCCAAAGTTTTAGCCCTAAAAGGTACTCGCGACGTGTATGAGGTGGATAACGCGCCTGCGAAATGTGGACTGACGGTGATGTTCACATTTTCGGCTACCGGAGTTATTACTCCACCGATGATTATCTACCCACTCAAACGTAACAGAGCAGATATTACGGCGTCTGTACCACCAGAATGGGGTTTAGGTCTGTCATCAAATGGATGGATGAACAAAGATCTATTTTTACAATACATTACTAATGTTTTACATCCATATCTTGTAAAAGAAAATACAAAATTCCCCATTCTTCTGTTTGTTGATGGACACAAAAGTCATATCAATTTTGAACTTAGCAAAGCATGCAAAGAAAGAGGTATAATACTTATAGCATTATACCCAAACGCGACTCGCATCTTACAACCCGCAGATGTAGCTGCCTTTAAGCCGATAAAAAGTGCATGGAAAAAGGGAGTTTTAGAATGGAGAAGGGAAAATGCGACAAAAAATTTGACAAAAATTGATTTTGGACCAATACTAAGCATAGTATTAAAGAAATATATAGACAAACAAATTATTATAAACGGATTTCGAGCTTGTGGATTGTATCCTTGGAATCCAAATGCAATTAACTACCGAAAATGCCTTGGCAAAAATGTGACCCAATCGACCAGAATTCAAGAAAACAGACCACAAAGGGCAATAACATTCACAGAATTTGAAAAAATCGTGGGACAAAACATCGTATCCCGTCTTACTTCTGAGACACCCGATAAATCAAATTGTTTTTACAAAGCATTAAAAGACATATACGACCATTTGAAAGGCAAAAATATAGAACAGGAAGACAGTACTATTTCAAGCGATTATTTAGTAATTGAAAATAAATTGATGGCAATAAATGACATACCGATCGTAATTTCAAACTCCAATAATATTGAAGAATCTCATACCGACACTATTGAAACTGAAACTACAGAGAATACTGAATTACCTACAACAGACTTATTTGACGATTTGAAGACCCTAAACCTAACAGAGTCCTACAATTTGTCAGCAGATATTCGGAATACTATTGAAATGAATAATAATTACAAACAGAGCCAACTTATAGCGAATTCAGATTCAGACACTCAAAATTACTTAAAAAATGAAATATTTAATGTTCTGGAACCTACCAGTGATAATGTCGTTAAAGGCCCTAATCAATTGATGTCACCTAAATTAACAGCTATTGCTGAAATGCATAATGTTGACAAACCGAGCGAAAGTACAGCGACTGTTAATGTTCTAAACAAAGAGTCAAATGAAATAACAAACCCAAATTTATTAGTAATAGATAACGTTACAGAGACTATTAATAAATCAAATATTAATAACCAAAACCAAATAGCAGAGACAGAAAATAACAAAAAATATGATTTTAATTTTGGCAATGCTAAATGCGATAGCGAAATGACACCTCCGAAATTAAAAGAAATTCTCAATTGGCCCCAGACACCACAACGTAAAGGGAAAATTATGACCCACAATCCCATTTATGTCTTGACTAGTCGCAAATGGCTTGAAATCGAGGAAAAGAAAAAAAATGAGAAGAAAACAAAAGAAAAAGAGAAAGAAGAACGTAAAAAAAGAGAGAGAAGAGAAAAGAAAACAGTAAAAAGCGTCACAAAAATATCAAAGCATACCAAAAATATGAAAATCGATTCGGAAAACTTAGAAAACATTGAAATATTAAGACAAAAAGAAAAAGTTCCTAGGCATCTATTAAATAAAAACTCAAAAATTGAAGAAAATAACAGAAAAAATAAAGAGGAAACAAAAACCGAAATAAAAGAACGAAAAAGAAAATATGATAAATCAATAACCACTGCATACAATAAAAAAATTAAAATAGATGTATGTGATAAAGAGACTGAGAACAATATTTTTAAGTGTGATGATACCAAGACTGAGTTATTAGATATAGACCAGATTAAAAAAACTACTCCAAAGCCTAATAAAGAAAGTAACATTAAAATTTTGTCTGTTGTGAAGGCGCCAGTTATGCATAATCCAAGAAATATTTTTAATGAAAACAGTTGCGTTGATACAAAGGTACCATTCGTTTTATCCAAACCCAAATCTATACTAAACAGAAGAGAGACATTCCGTAATGAAGAAGAACTGAGTAATTTTCTTAATGATGAATACCTAAATATGGACGAAAGCTCGATGTAAATATAAATCGATAAAAAAAATTATACCCTGCACATCACTATCGTTAAATATTATAATTTTTTTAGTGATTGGCCCTAACATGGTATAATAATTGGCAGTGCTAATAAACACAAAGTACAATGATTGACATGACATGACATGCCAATAATTATACTTTGGATATGCCAATTTCTATACACCAATGGCCAATGATTGTACTTTTGGCTCCTTTTTTTATGTTTATTGCAATAAAGTTATTAATTAGATGCAAAATGATTATGGTTGTGATTTATTCAATTTCCCAGGTTCTTAAGACACAACTTGACAGTAAATGTTATATGATTATGAAACTTATTTAGGTATAAGAAATTTTCAAATTCAATGATCACCTTAAAGGGCCAATCATTGTACTCCTTACCCTATAAGCTTATATTTATAGATATTACAATAAAGTTGCTAACTTTGGATACTAGAGGCGCTAGTTACGCATTGCCATTTTATAGGTCGAAGATTGGTCTCTATTTCAGTTTATACAAAGGTACTCTGTGGTAGCAAGCTAGTCTGTCAAAGTAAATCTTGTTGATGTCTATATAGGCAAAGATCGAATGACCATACAGCCAACTTATACTCAAAGTTTTACATTAACTTATTTTTTTACAAAAAATGTTCAATAAAATTAATGTGTTTACTTTTAAGACCTACTGTTAATATTTCTATTTATTCATAATATCAATTTGTGCTACCGTTTGTAATATTATTAGCCTATACTACTTTTTGCAGTAGGTAACTGTTGTGTACGTATGAAGTGTAATTATGATAGTTGCGTTTTTGATCGATCGATCTTCTGGTAACGCTGGTTGGTGAAGGAGAAGTAGTTCATTTTTACTTATTCATATTATTTGTATCTATATATTAATATATTATTCTTATCATTTTATATATATATACGCATTACCACATCATATATTTTTCATAAAAAGAAAGACTTCTTATGAGTTCTGAGTCGTTCAATTATATTGTTTCAAATAATGATTCCTTTATGACACCTTACTCTGAAAGCGGCAGTAGTGACGATAATTTTCACAGTATAGATCTAACTCCTCTAAACGAAGTCCTATCTTCTCAATTCTCAGATGTTCTGAAAAATTTCAATGTTATTCATATTAATGCCCAACGTATTCCGGCACATTTTCCAGACATGCTTGCATCATTTAACACTAGCTTCCTCAGTGCTATTCTTGTATCCGAAACGTGGCTCAAACCATGTTTACCTTCTACCTGCTATTCACTACCAGGATTCAATCTTATTCGAAATGACCGAGTAGGCCAGAGTGGTGGCGGGGTAGCAATTTACCTTAGATATGATATTCGATAGATTATTAAATTGTCTACTCAAGCACCCTTGCCTAATGAAGCTTTTTTTTAAAAAGGGGGGGAAAAAACGACCGCCGCCCCCCCTTTTTAAGGGACAACACCCCCCATGAACATCTCTTGTTGGAAATTATATTATCTAACACCAAAATCTTACTAGGCGTCTTTTATAGCCCATCCCTCCATGTGAATTATATCCCTTCGTTTGAGAAAACACTTGAAGACCTGACTCCTCTATATAATCACATTATTTTTATGGGCGATTTTAACACTTGCTTGTTAAAGAATAATCACCGCACTAAAAAGCTGCGCTCTATTACTGACTCGTGTAATTTACATATTCTGCCACTTAATGCTACACACACCTTGCCTAACTCTATTTCATCCCTGTTAGATCTTATCATAGTTTCATCTCCTGATCACGTCTCAAAGTATGGTCAATGTGCAGATGTGGCATTCTCTCATCATGACCTCATCTTTCTGTCATATAAAATACGTACTCCCAAACTTCGAGCCAAGGTACTGATGCTACGGAATTTTAGTGGGATGAATATAGAACGTTTACAAGAGGATGCCCGGAATGCTGACTGGTCTGCTGTATACTCTGCAAATTCTATAGACCCAAAGGTGGAAACATTTAATTACATTGTGATTGACCTATATGACACCCATGCACCAATCAGACTAGTTAAATTTAAATACACCCCTGCACCTTGGCTAACGAACGATATTAAATCACTGTTAAATAAGAAAAATAAAGCTAGGCTTATTTATAACAGTGATAAATCGGTGCACAATAGGGACAAGTATAGGATCATACAGAATCGCTGCAATACAATTTGTAGAGTCGAGAACGGAGACCCTGCAAAAATTTGGAAGTTTCTCAGATCTATAGGAGTTGGAAAATCTAAAGAATCTACTATTTCGAATGAAGACGTTGACATTGAATCATTAAATCAACATTTCTCATCTACCTCTTCGTTTTCAAGCGATAATATAAAATCATATACTTTAAACAATCTGTTCAAAGCATCAACTCCTAATTTCTCGCCGTTTACCTTCAATCAATTTTCCGACTGTGATGTTAAGAAGAACGTTTTGTCCATATCGTCAAGTGCCATCGAAAGTGATGAAATTAGCCGTAAAATGATCGTCCCCCTGATTGACATTATTCTCCCCATCTTAACTCATATTTTCAATTACTCCATATCCTCTGAATCCTTTCCTCGAATTTGGAAGGAAGCAAATATCATTCCTCTTCCTAAAAAGAAGAACCCATGTTCACCCTCAGATTATCGACCTATATCTATCCTTCCATTCCTTTCAAAAGTCCTTGAACGTTTAGTCTTTGCACAACTTAACCTCTTCCAAAATAAAAACTCCCTTCATGACTCCTTTCAATCGGGTTTCAGACTTGGTCATAGTACGGTTACAGCGTTACTTAAAATCACAGATGATATTCGCTGGGGTATGGACCAAGAGCAGCTTACTATACTTACGCTACTGGATTTCAGTAAAGCTTTAAACACCGTCGATTTTGATGTATTGCTGATTCTGCTACGTTCTATTAACATATCTCCAGCGGCAATTGAGTCAAAGCTATTTGCGTGGCCGCCGGCAGCGGGTTATGGTAGGTAGCCACATCTTCGTGCTGTGAACTAACTGCTGGTGTACCACAAGGTGGTGTGTTGTCTCCTCTTCTTTTTTCTGTGTTTATTAATTCTGTTACTTCACACGAATATCTTCTCTCTACCATTTGTATGCAGATGATCTTCAAGTTTATTCCCATACATCACTCCAGAACCTTCCCAGTGCCATCAATGGCACTAATATGAATCTTGCTGCAATACATGATTGGAGCAGGTCGTTCGGGCTTAATTTAAATCCCAATAAGACCCAAGCCATTATTGTTGGAAATAGTACTGTAATTTCCAGAATTTGTTCGGATAACCTACCACCTATTGTTATTGATGGTGTTGTGATACCTTTTAGCAAATCTGTAAATGACCTAGGATTACACATTGATCAAAATCTTTATTGGTCCCTACATATTAAAGAGTCCAGTAGAAAGATGTTTGCGGCATCATCTTTACGACGTTTGCGTAACTCATTACCCATTCCTACTAGAATTTTACTGGCACAGTCCTTGTTACTCCCTATCCTTGATTATGCTGATGTATGCTATTCTAATCTTACTGAGGATCAATTAAATAAACTTGAGCGTCTTCAGAATTTCGCTATTAGGTTCATATTTGGCATCCGCAAATATGATCAAGTTTCCGAGTTTCGTACTAAGCTCAAGTGGCTTCCTATCAGACTTCGTCGGAATACTCACATTCTATCTCAACTGTACTGTGTACTATTTGATCCTAAAACACCGATGTATCTAAAAGAAAAAATTGAGTTCGCGGGTGCAGATAAAGATCATTCCAGATTATCCGATAAACTTATTTTGCGAGTGCTCACAACTCAAAATTTTTTAATTCCTCCTTTTGTGTCAAAGCAATTAAATTATGGAACTCGCTTCCTTTAACAATTAAGAAAGCCCAAAGCATTGAGTCTTTCAAAAAAACTGGTTAAAATTATTATTTAAATATGTGTTCTACTTAATATATTTCATTCTCATATCTACTATGCTTGATAAGGTTTGTGTATATATGGTATGTATATAATGTGTAGCTATAATATCTTACAAAAATATTTATAAATATGTATATGTATAAATATGTATATATGTGTATGATTATGTATGTATATATATGTTATGTGTTATGTATAATTTTTTATCTACGATTTATGCACACTTACATACATAACATAAAAACTCACGCCTGTCACCCAGAGGGGTAGGCAGAGACTACAGACTTCCATTTGGCACGATCCTGACACACCTCTCTCGCCTCCTTCACATCCATACATCTACGCATACATGCTCGTCGGTTAAGGGTACTCCTAATTTGGTCCGTTTTCAATAAATCGCCAATTTGGTCGATAAATTTTCGCCTAGGACGTCCCTTTCCGACTCTGCCATTCACTTCTGCAACATAAATTTTTTTTGTCACTCTTTCCTCATTCATTCTTTCCACATGACCAAACCACCGAAGCATTCCTTTCTTAATCCTGGTCACAACATCATCTTGCAAACCACACTCTTCTCTTATTACACAATTTCTTACCCTGTCATTCAGATTCATATACTCCTTAACGACCGCATTTCTACTGCGTTTATTCTACTCTCGTGCTTCTTCTGCCACACCCAACTTTCACTACCATACGTTAAAGTAGAGACCAACACAGCATTGTGAATTGCCATACGTGCCTTTTTTGACACATTTTGACTCTTCACAATAGAGTGCAGGGCCCCATTTACTCTATTTCCCGCATTCACTCGTCGTTCTATATCCTTATCATATCTCCCATCCCTGCTAAATACGCAGCCCAAATATACAAACTCATCTACTTGCTCGATCAACTCCCCTTCTATTCTTATTTCACAAATCGTTTTACTTTCTTCTCTTTCAAAAACCATAACCCTTACTTGCGTTCACTTTCATACCCCTTTCTTTTAATGATCTGTTCAATAATGTAACCATCATTTGCAACTCGGCCGCCGACGACGCAAGAATAACTTGATCATCGGCGTACAAAAGGCATTTGACGGTTAACTCACCCATTCTTAATCCGCATTCTTCAACTTTCAAATTTTGCAAACAACTGTCCATAAATAGGTTGAACAGCCACGGGGAAGCCACACAGCCCTGTCTGACACCTTTATGGATGTCAAACCAGTCCGAGTAGACCCCGTTGATCCTAACACAAGCGCTAGAGTCCCTATAAAGAGACTCCAATGCCTGTATCAAGCCAGCGCTCAACCCAAATGAGTTCAGTGTTTGCCATAGCACATCCCTATCCACTCTGTCATAGGCCTTTTCCAAGTCTATGAACGCACAAAAAACCTTTTGGTTTTTGGCCAAAAACTTCTCCGCGATCATGCGCATGGAAAAGACTTGATCTGTACATCCCATTCCCTTTCTAAATCCCGCTTGCACATCCCAAATTTTTCCATCAGTTTCTTTCATGACCCTTTCAATCAGTACCTTAGCATACAGTTTTCCCACAATGCTAAGAAGGCTGATGCCACGGTAGTTTTTACAGTCCTGTTGCGACCCTTTTCCTTATGCACACTTCTATATTTTTATATGTAAAAGATCTCCTTCACCAAGGTTTGCCTGGAAGAGATCGCAGTTTAGCGATAAGGCCACCTAATTGTACATAAATTTATCAATTTAAGTTTGTTGTTCTTTGTATTATTTTGTGCAATAAAGAGTATTGTAACTCAGCTTTTATTAAAGTAGCTGTGATGTAAAGAGAAGCTGTTTGTCTGGAGATTTGGAGTTTTGTCAGGATTCTGGAGATCATTTAAAATATTGGGAGAATCCAGACGAATCCCAGCCATCTGCCAACCCTGGGGTAGGACTAGCTCAGTGAACTCCGACAGTAACATCTCCCCTACGACGGTCTGAAGAACACTGAAGTACATAAATGAGACTGCTTCACGCGTGCTTTAACTTTATCCGCTCACGTTCCTCTGGACACTTCTGGTCAAGTCTACCGGAAACCGCCTGCTAACAATACAGCTACTCCTCTGATTTGACAATTATTACTCCTAATATATTGTAAAGATCTATTTAGAGCCCTTATATGAGCCGTAGCTCATTCCAAAAAATAAATTTCGTTTTGCAGAGTACTTCTGCCGTATTACTTTGTTTGGGTATATTGCAGAGTGGCGTTCGGTTTGTATCAAAACGAGAAATAGAAGCAAAAACTTTTTTATTCAATATACATTATAAATAATACTTATTGAAAGTAACTTTTTAATAATTTACCACTGGTACGGAGAAAAAACCTCTGTCATGGGAAGAACCAGTAAGAAACCCAGCGGGACTATGTTTTATAATAAACTTCTATAATAAACTTGGGCCATCGCATGAAAACACAATGTATCTCACAAGTAATACATAATATATTAAATTCTATTGCTTAGTGTGATTGCCAAGTCAATCTATTTATTTAAATCATCAAAGATTTTTAATATTAATATGGTCACAATAAGATGTTGTTATGTTAGCTAATTACGTAATAACTTAAGACAGCGGGACCCTTAAGTAGGGACTGAATAAATTAACCGACTTGGTATTACATGGATCTCACAACTTTTTACGATAGAAGAACTAAGTTGCGAGACTGGGTTTTTTTACAAGTTATGTTTTTGATGGCATCTCATTTCTTTTTGCAGATAGTCCTACTTTTTTTCCTTCCGGTACCTTCTAATTCTTGATTACCAACAAAGTACTAAAAAAATTAAAATTCATTAAAATTCTTTTCTGTCAAATTATATAATATTTTATAGTGACTGGGTTAACTACAGCTGCCAACACTAACGTCGTGAATTTCAGCACTTATTAAAAGTCTCTTAAATGCAGCTCTGAAGTAGACTGCATTCGGATTATTATTAAATCCACCACGAGCTCTAATGGCAGAAAAAAACAATTCCAGGTGTTGGTGATGTTTTAATACTTTCATTTATCCTAATAAATCCAGTTTCTCTACAGAAACAAATGATTAACTGCTAACTTTAGGTTGCGAAAGTAAGTAATGACTCCTTCAAACAGAGCTTCTATAAGTCCGATGTTTTCAGGACATACATATTTTTTTCAACCTGGCGATCTAATTGAGTGACTGTTCAAGATATCAAACACATCATGATTTCTTAAATTTACGCGAACACTACACATTGAATAAAACTAAATTTACGGAATTTATCGCGTTTATTTCACTACTTTTACTTATTTTTAATTCCCGACGTTTCGGGTGCTTTACAGCAACCATGGTCACGGAGGGGACTGAGATATTTGACGTCCGAATGTCATAGTTAGCCCGGCTACCTTCAGTTTTTGAATATTAATTTTTGGTCCGATTTACGCAAAACGAGCTTATAGTATCATGAAATCTTGCAGTGGTATGCTTAGGTTTGGGTTTAATTTTGTTAATTATAGGATCCCAAGCAGGTGGCAGCACCCATCCATCTTCTCTATTGAAATTTGGATGTTTTTTAATTTCAATAGCCTCGCGTATCATCCTTGGTAGGAATCGGTGTTCTTTTGCGAGAATTTGTGGTTTATCAAAACGAATGTAATGGTGGGGACGATCTTGAACATGTTCACAGACTGCAGACTTCCCGGAGCGTCGGTGCTTCACGTCAGCTATATGTTCTTTCACGCGGGTTTTTAAGGATCTTTTTGTTTGACCTATGTAAGAGAGACCACATTCACAATCTAACTTGTACACTCCTGCATCTTGTAGAGGGATATTACACTTGACGGATGGTAAAAATTGACTAATCTTCTTCGGCGGCTTGTAGTATGTTTTAATAGAAGCTCGCTTCAAGATGTAGCCAACCTTGTCTGTGACTCCTCTGACATATGGTAGTACAGCAGGTACACGCTCGACTGTGGCCGGCTTCATTCGGTCACTGTGACGTAGGCGCGGGACCCGAAGCTTGTTGTCTTGCAATACTTGCTTGACGTGCTGACGTGCTGTTGCTGTAAAGCACCCGAAACGTCGGGAATTAAAAATAAGTAAAAGTAGTGAAATAAACGCGATAAAATCCGTAAATTTAGTTTTATTCAATATCAAACACATCGTTTAACTACTCGTATGAAGTTGATAGTCGTTGTACAACCTTCAACTTTCTTAAGCTTTGATTCATTCTCGCAGTAGTGCAAGGTGCCAGAAACTGAATTACTCATCAGTTAAGTGGCCAAACGAACCTTCGTTTTTTGTTTCTCAAACATCAAATGTGCAAAACTTCACGATCCTGTAGTTTTAATAATTTTTCTAAATCAGAGGTGCTAGCAGCCAAATCTGGTGCAGTGGATATACCAGTGACTAAATCTAGCGTAGCAGATGTGCTAGGGGCTAAATCTATGCCACTCCTTTTTGAAATCTCTCCAAGGTGGTTTTTATTGGTAGGCATACAAAAAGGTTCAACCTGAAAACCACTCTTTATTATTAAAATAAATATTAATAAAGAAGAAAAGTAAATACTTAAAAATCCTATGACTTCAAAAATAGAAGAGTGATTCTGCTGTTTTAATAAAAAAATACCATAATAGGATCACTACATCCAGATATTGATTGTGAGTTTCTTTGATTTTGATCCTTTTCAATTAAAATGCCAGATATATTTGATTGAATCGCAGGCTGTAAACAAACAATAAAATTATTAGCATTTTGATGTTTTATTAATATGATTTTTATTAATCTTAAGACCACACCCAAACACATTCTTTACATGATTATTTGTGTCCATTATACAAGGATGAACAGAACGATTGACATTTTTTTGAACCACTTATTCAGTTCACAATTCTTCCGTCTTCTTCTGCCTTAAAATTTACGGTTGGTTATTTAAAAAAACATTGCTGTTTCCTACAAAAGTACAATACCTGTGCAGTCAAAATGTATGGAATATATTTTTTTTAATACCTGACAAAATATTTCAATGCAGTGTGGTCTAGAGTCATGGACGGACTACGTGGTTTCAATTAATGTTATAATATCATCACCACTTAACTTATTAACCACTACACAATCATGTGATACAAATTGATTGATTGTTGTTGAACATGTTGAATATGCTACATGACTTACCAATAAGGTTCGTGAAGATACAGCATCGTCACGTAATGTTACTTAATTGAGTGTCCGGTTGAAAGATGATTTTTGAAAGTGAAGAGAACAAATATAAATAGTTTTTGTTGACATCTTGAAATTTTCAACACCAATTGCTTCCAGCCAAATTTTTCTTCATTTATTAGCAGCCTTGAAAGTAAAACATAAGACCAATAAAGAACCATAAAAAAGCACTATCGATAAATATAAAAATGTCGAAATGCATTACTCTATCTCTTTAAAAACAAGAAAATGATTTCATGAAGTACAACTGTTGACAATAAAAGCTAAAGGGAAAGTGGTAGAGCCACGCGGCAGATTTGCTGTAGCATGTATGGGCCGGCTCAAACCGGAGTGGTACCACGACATCACAGAATACCGGCGTGAAGTGGAAGCTCAAGACAACAACTGCTCGGGGCAAACGGAGCAACAAGACCAAGGCGACCCCTGCCACGCTGTCCGTGAATTTCTGCAATATCAGGAGACTTCACTAACCTAAACGCCATCCACTACCATCTCGAAACGGCGAGGCCGGCTCTGCTCTTTCTGACCGAGACGCAGGTGTCCTCTCTGGCTGATGTCTCGTATCTCTCCTACCCGGGGTACAAACTGGAACACTCCTTTGTGCCTCGGGCTGGAGTTTGCGTTTACGTCAGAGAGGACATCTGTTCTCGACGCCTCGGCAGACTTGAAGGTTCGGACCGGTCCATCCTTTGGCTACGCGTAGACTGCGACGACTATCCGCGCGTCTACGGGTGTCTCTATAGGTCCCATAGCGGTAATTCCGAAACAGACCGACTCTTCGACCACGTCCAAATGGCTACAGATTCGTTGCTACAGCAGATCCCCTCCGCAGAGATTGTGATCCTCGGCGACTTTAACGCCCATCATGCCGAATGGCTTGGTTCACGTTTAACCGATCATGCGGGGAGATCTGTTCAGGATTTTGCATTGGCATATGGTCTGACACAACTGGTTACTTCGCCTACGCGGATTCCAGATGTGGAGGATTATGCACCTTCCCTATTGGACCTTCTGCTGACCTCTCACCCGGACGGATATCAGATTTCCGTCGACACCTCTTTAGGCTCCTCGGACCATTGTCTTGTCCGGAGTGTGGTGCCACTCACGCTGAAATCGCTGTTGCATCCTGCAGGCTGCCGCCGTGTTTGGCACTATAGCTCAGCCGATTGGAATGGGATGCGGTCTTTCTTTACATCCTACCCTTGGGGGCGGGTTTGCTTCTCGCCGGACGATCCCAACGTTGTTGCAATTTCTGTCGCTGATAAGGTACTTCAGGGTATGGAACTTTTCATTCCTACCTCTGTGGTGCCCATTGGAGGCAAATCTCAGCCATGGTTTGGTCGCTCCTGTAAAATAGCATCATGCTATAAGCAGGAGTGCTACCAAGCCTGGGCTGACGCATCAACGTCCCGGGATGTAAACACCAGCGCTCTAAAAAAGAAGTATAATTCCGCCTTCAGTTCCTTCAAAAGAGTCATTGCCAAGGCAAAGTCAGAGCACATAGGCAGAATTGGCGAGAAACTAGTTCGTCTTCCTTTTGGAACCCGTGCATTCTGGTCTCTCGCCAAGGCTGTCCAGGGGAATTTCTGTCAGCCATCTCTTCCATCTCTGCACAGGGAGGACGACTCACTGGCCCATACCGCAAAGGAAAAAGCTGATCTTCTAGGCTCTTTCTTTGCGTCCAACTCGACTCTCGATGACGGGGGGAGTACGCCGCCGAACATCCCGCTGTTTGAGTGCTCCATGCCGGAAGTGCAGTTCACACAGCGCTCGGTTCTCAAAGCACTCCTCTCCCTGGACATCCACAAGTCGAGTGGACCTGACGGAATCCCCCCAATTGTGCTGAGGACGTGTACTCCAGAGTTGACACCGGTTTTAACGCGTCTTTTCCGGTACTCCTACTCCCTAGGCGTAGTCCCAAAATAGTGGAAGACGGCTTTCGTCCACCCGATCCCTAAAAAAGGTGACCGCTCAGACCCGTCCAACTACCGGCCTATCGCCATCACCTCCTTGTTCTCTAAAACAACGGAGTCCATTGTAAACTGCCAGCTTATGAAGTACCTTGAGGATCACTAGCTGACTAGTGACCGCCAATACGGTTTTCGCCGTGGTCGGTCAGCTGGTGATCTTCTGGTGTATCTAAGTCACAGATGGGCGGAGGCAGTAGTGTCCAAGGGGGAGGCATTGGCCGTTAGTTTGGACATTGCGAAGGCCTTCGATCGGGTTTGGCACAAAGCGCTTCTTTTGAAGCTCCCTTCCTATGGGCTTCCCGAGAAACTGTGCGATTGGATCACCAGCTTTCTTGCAGATCGTTGTAGACGGTGCAAGATCCGATTGCAAGCCTATTAATGCTGGTGTTCCACAAGGCTGCGTGCTATCGCCAACGCTGTTTCTTCTGCATATCAATGATATGTTGCAAACCCGTTTCTTTGTCGTAACATTCATTGCTGTGCAGATGACAGCACTGGTGATGCTCTTTACACCGACCGAGCCAATATTTCTCGGGAAAACATCTCCGAGTGCCGGGATAAACTTATGTCTCAAGTCGAGTCTTTGCTGAACAGAGTCTCGGATTGGGGGCGACTAAATCTAGTCCAGTTTAACAACCAGAAGACACAAGTTTGCGCGTTGACCGCTGAAAAGAACCTCTTTGTCGTATCTCCTCAGTTTCAAGGCACTCCCCTTGTTGCCTCAGCCAGTATCGGAATACTCGGCGTCGACATATCGAGTGACGTGCAGTTTCGTGGTCACTTGGAAGAGAAGGCCAAATTGACCTCTAAAAAGCATGGCGTGCTCAGCCAAAATTAAGTACGTACTGGTGTAAAATTATGTTCGGGTTATTTCTTCTTTTTTATGCCATACTCGATTATACTGCAATTGGGCATCTTGCTATTGGCGAATGCTACTATTGAATCGAGTTTAAACGTAATAACACAGCAACTTTTCTTAGTAGTTTTCTCGTGGTTTTAGAAGTTGAATCTTGCGGAGTCTACAGAATATACTTAGTCTGTGAATCTGTGGTACAAACTTCTGGTTTATAAAAGTACTCTGTGGGTCTGTGGTATAAACAACAAACTTTCAGTTTAGAGTCCGTTTCACGAAAGAAGTCCCTTAAGGTACAATTCCGTAGTCGAATGCAGACAGCAGCAGCAAGCAACGTGTCGTCGCGACACAACTGGTTTTTATGTAGTTCTATGAAATACGTTCCGTGGCTAGCGAAACGTCGTTTGCCTAACGGCAGACGACATTGTAGCCCGACCGCAGATCAGTAGTGCTGCCAACGCCCAAGCGACATCACGTTGAATTTTTCTTAAAAATGAGTTTCACCGATTTCGAGGAAGATTCCGACACTTCCTCTGCATTTCAACATAGGATGTCTTTTCGTCTTTTCTCTGTGTACTTGTATAATAAAAACAAGTCATCATCATCCTCTTCTAACAAAAGATACAAAAATAAATCGCGATCGCTATTTCCAGCATGTCAGACATCATGTCCCACTGAACACTCGGAGCAGACTGGACACGGGCTGCTGCCTTCTGCAGTCAGGTTTGGAATCATGACTGCAGCGACATGACACTACGACACGTCGTCTGCTGCTGCTGTCTGCAGTCGGCTACGGAATTGCACCTTTAGCCGTGGTACCACAGTCTGCAAAGTTTGTTTTTCATTTATTAAATTTTAGTTCGCACATTTTCCGCGGGACTTCTTACGTGAAATGGACTCTATACAAGGGTACTCTGTGGTACAAAAATAAAATCCTGTCTGTTGCTTAGAAGGGCTAGAACCCAGAGCCGTAAGGCCGGTAAAAAAAAGTTCTGTCTGGTCTGGTGTGGAATTTTTGATTGATGTAAGAAAAATATTTTTATTTCTATTGTTCTTATATCTATGCGTTTTTAAGATTTTTAAGTTTTCAACCGAGTTTTTAAGTAATGCACGTGTTTAATAATCAGCAGCCTATGTTCTTCATAAATTAATAACAACATTAATGAAAATAAAAATGTAGTTTTAAAATTAAGGTGTTTATGTGTAAGTAATTAGAAGTGGTTAAAATGAAATATTGCCCGTTATTGGCAATTTTATCATTTAATTTTGTTTTTAATGATTTTTGTAGTATTAACTCATAACATCTAATAAATAATATGTGAGGTTAAATATTCACTTTAAGTTACGTAGTTTATATATACACTTCGGGTATATTTGGTTATAAAAATCTTACTAAAATGTTATATAAACATTTGTTATAAACTGTGCCAAAATTTTGCTCACATTCAATTGCCACATGTTTTGAAAAACGGAATCAAGAAACTGCTTCTAAATCAAGACTCCCAATTCTCCAGTTAAGTATGTACATGTTTTTTGTTAGGGAAAGTAATTTGACGCTATCTGCTGATTGACTTATCACCTTGGTGTGATTGAGCTATGTATATACAATGTCTCACAAGTGGAGATATTTGTAGTGTTGTTTAAATATTTGGGTACGACTTTCCATTGATGTCCATCGAATTGAGGAGGGAGGGGGGGGGGAGGTTTAATACCCCCCCTTAAAAGGAAAAGTTGCGGAGCCCCCCACTTTTCGAGTTTTTTCATTTTTAATTCTGAGAAAATTTTCTTCATTTTATGGATTAATATTAAGTGTAAACAACCAGGAGGACACCTTTGGGGAGGGGGGGTACCCCCCTACGGAAGGGGGAACCCCTTTCATCAGAAAAAAAATAGGGGGACTGATTGAGAGGGATTTCTGTGTCTATTTTGAGACTGCAATGTCTACGGCACTGCGGGAAGAGCAGCCTTTTTGCCATTGCGTAACAAATCGCAGGCATCCATCCTCGCCTCCGTAGCTTCGGCTTGTTCGTTCGTTTCGTTCTCCACAGCTTCTCGTTATTGTTGTGGTCGCCGAAGGCGACCAGCCTCATCCGCTCCGGCTCGTCTGATGCCAACGATTTGTTACAGCAGGCGGA